TAGTTGCTGGGAAGGAGGGACGAAACTCAACGCTCCCGATGGTGTATAGTCCATAAGCCCCATCATTTCAGAGACAAACAGTGTCACTTGATCATATAGGCAAGCATAATCCTGTTTGATCTCCCACTGCTCTGGCGGTACCTGCAGGGTATAGGGTGACTGACTGGAGCTGATCAGGTGCTGGTAGTCCTGCTCCAGTTCTCATTCCTGGACAGCCAATTCAATCAGGTCTGGCCTTAGGTCTTCAGCCATAGGGAGGTCCAGCATGGCCTCTCTGTAGGCAAATATGTCCCAAAGTCGTGACTCGGCCGCACTCCCAAAGTCCGGTTCTGCAAAGGCCCCCCACAATAAACCAGGGCCATTGTAATCCTTGCCCTCTGGTTTGTCAAATTTGGCCAGTCCGGGAACACGCTGAACCGCGTACCAAGGTAGCACTTGGTACACATCATCGAGACCCAGTTCCTTCCATGCCAGTGAATCAAGCTGGATCACCAACTCCTCTCTGGGCTGGTCTCCCAGCATAGGCATTCGTAGGGTCACTCGGGCTTGTAGTCGCTGCTCCTTGCTGGGGAGACGCTCACCCCGCCAACGCTGGACACCCTCTAGGGATTCTTCCCACATCTCCTGTCGGGCATACTCTCTGCATGCCAACCTCGTTGCCTCTGCTATAGGCTTATCCAGTGGGGCCAAGATGCTCTGTAACCTCTGGTTAACTCATCTTCCACCTCGAGCTCTGTATAGGAACTCGCTGGCTCTATACCGCTCCATAATAATTCTGGTGTCTCCAGGGTGCTGTTCCTCTCACACCAGGATGCCATCCCACTTCTGCTACCAATGTAATGGATCGACGGGCACCCCGACTGGGTACCTCCATTGAAGGATGCTCCTCGCGTTTCCTGAGGACTCCAAACACTGCAGCAGACACCATAACCACTGTAGACTCCTCCAGAGAGCAAGGCAGGAACAAGCTCTTACAAGAGCTTAGTAGTGATTTAGCAAGGGAGTATGACAAGCATAGCAATCCCTTGTAGCAGATTCCCCCAATAAGAGACGGCACTCCAAATTGAGGGTGAAGTAGAACTGACTGTACTGGCACATACAGCCTCTTTTATTCACATTCTACAAACATAGTACTGCCCACAGGGTTTTGAAGAACAACCAATCAACACATTACAACACAGCTAACACTCCCATTCATTACATCAGAAATCCTCCCCTCTGCCTGTGATACAATTATCTCAACACAATAGACTAACTTAATTATCACAGGCAGGAAAATACAGTATTATAAAACATATCACAGGGACCCCAAAACATGCAATAACCCCATAAAATATATAATCGGAACTGGGGGATCTAGGGTAACCACATATCCAAAATTCACCCAGATCCGTTCAGTAGTTTGGAAGATACTGTTTAATGCAGATTCCGCAGAACCTATACAGGCTATATGAAAAATAATTACTGTTAAATGTGTCCCCTGTTCTGTAGTTTAAAATTACTGAACGATGTCTTTGTGCACCAAATACCAGCGAGATGGCACCGTGTAGAAAAGTCAAAACAGTGTCTGTGAGTTAAAATGGCCGCCATCCATTGCTCTCACCATGTGCTTCATCCATTGTTCTCACCATGTGCCTCTGATACATGAAATGTTGGCCACCCAGTAACTCCACAGTTTGTCTGGTAGTCTATCCAGCCGAACCAACAGATGAAACACATGGGGAACAGTGCAACAAACGAAGGGAATCATAAAAAATATGGACAATAGTCATATTTGTGCACAATCTCAAGTTTTGCCACATGGCACAAATAGTGTTTTCAAATGCCATATATCCCAGGGCCATAGTCGGAAGGTAGGAGGCGGGCAAGCAGCCCCCTCCAAGAACACGTGGCAAGGTCTGTTACGCCACAAATGATAAAACCATGTTCATTTCTCTGAGACAGATCAGTTCGAAGTCATTAGATCGAATGTGGCAGATAGCCCATACTGGCTTTGCAGCTATATTTGATGACATGTAGTTTAAAAACATGTGGTACCCTGAGACCATTAACCTATCATCATTTTATAAAACCTCAACTCTAATTGAGGTTGCTCCATACTGACAGCTACTAATACTTATGGAAACTTATGAGCAAGCATTCAAATGCTACTCAGACATGACAGCTTGCAATGTCATCAACAATAGCCCTAGTCTTCAATAATACGAGGATGATTAACCTGGCCAGCAGCTACCATCTGTTTTATTTGATTTACGTCCACATCCCGGCCTGTCACAACTCAGTATCGGACACCCTGTTCTATTGTCATTTTAAGGACTTCTTCAAATCCCACCCGACTGCCAGGGAACACCCGTCCAAAAACCAAGCCTTCAATTTTCATCCTGGACCAGCCCGTTTACTGGCCCACAGCAGTTGGCTTGCACAAGCTGTCCTATTAGCAAGCACACAAAGAACATATAACAGAGATAGTGTCACAACTGGAATTAGACAGACTACAGAAAACATCAGCCATGTGCTATGAGGAGGAAGAAATTCACATACCCACATCCATACCTGCAGAGGATTGCCAATCTAAATCCCTGCCCCAGGATGGCATAACAACAGATATCAGAAAAATTATCCTAGAAAAGCTAGCAGTCCTTGACCAGCAGACAAGACTACCAAAGTCAATGGAAAACTGCCACAGACAGCATGCGTGCTACAGTTAATGAGGCACTGTCAACAATCCCAACCTTCACCAACACCAAAAGGTTCATACGTGCCAAAGCATTAGTGGTTTTCCAGAGGCTTGACTACAAGATCAGGAACAAAGAGATGTAATGCACTCCATGGAGACAATGACAGGAAGACAAGATAAGTTACAACATGGAAGGAAGATTGATCAACTTCACAGAGGTGGAAAGATCAAGGATAGACCCTGGCTACAGAAAATACAAAGATATGTCCATCCTGGAGGCACTGAACAGACTGACAGCACTGGCAACCAGACTAAACAGATACACAAGAGGAATCTTAGAAAAATGCCCTGTTTTCCAAAGAACCAGCCAAGGTGTATGCACAGCTGCAGGGCAACCATCATATATCCACCTAAGCCCTACCCAGAGCAAAGACTACACAGAACTAGAAGAACACCAGGCCCATTGGCTACTTGAACTGTAAACAGACCACTGCATTCTGAAGAGTTGGTAAGTCCCAGGACCTGACATGACCCACATCTACTGGATAAAGAAATAAACAACTCTGCATGAACACCTAGCAGCATAAATAATTCAGCTACAAGCTAAAAGCCCCAAACCTGACTGGCTAACACAATGCAGAACAATACCGGTCATGAATGACCGTCACTTTGTACAGTGTCAAGTCAAAACTACAGTGATAAATATTTGGAGTCAACTGTAATAGCAGCTATATCAGTTGCATGGTAGCATAGGTGTACTGCCCAGGATTTATACAAATATTATGTTGTTGGGGAACTATCTGTCTGAAGTTCTGCCAAACATTACTCTCTTCACTGTTAATCATTTGCAGTGCTAACCAATTTGTATTACCAAGTTTTACTGCAAGTCAGTTGACCAAGAAAATTCTTATGGTATTATAACAATCTCATTGAGGATATTTTGGATAGCATGCTTATGATTCAAGTACAATTGACATTAAAAAAGAAATAGAAAAAATAACAATCTGTTTACTCACAATAACTTCTCTGTTTTTGTTGGAATACCTGTATGATTTTCTATTTACCAAGCTCTTCTTACATATCTTCTACAAAATAAACGTAGCTGTTGACATTGAGTGCTCTGCTCAGTTTAGATAAATATCATGTGCTTGGTTTTGTATCACAGAAACAAATTGCTTTGGATATTAGCATTACTTACGCCAACTGCTTTTGAGCCATTTGTTCATAAACAAGCTCCTCTGTGCTGAGGGAGTTTGCTATTAGGGGTAGTATTAAATGGCTCTTTCTGACATTTTGTTTTTTCAGTACACTATTCCCAGGAAGCCTATACTCCAAACTCTGAAACAATTCAGCTGTTAATCATAGAAGCTATCACGCTGTCAGTTTACACTAGGTCTATGTCTATCAATCAGCTGCAGTGTGGATTTACAGTGTAAGGATGAAATTCACTAGCATATGCTTTTAAGAGAAATTTGACATGATAGGTATAAATGGTTCTGTGTAATTCTTTATTTGACCTAAAAAAACCCTGAAAAAACAGTACAAAAAATTCAGAATGTTAAAAGGTAGCTTTGTATTTTACTTTTAATCTGTCACAAACTGTCATTGATGAGCAGCATTAAAAACATTTAAAAAAAAGATTTGGTCTTTTTTTTTTCTTTAAATTTTCAGTTGCTAAATCACTAATATGAGACATCACTTGTCCAACGTAACTCTAATTGCTTCATCTACCCATGAAATATATAATAACTTGAAGGATGTGTATATGTAAACAAACAACATCCATTACATATTAATAAATATATATATAAAACAAACAAATATATCTTGTAATACCTTTTTTATTGGACCAGCAGAATTTTTTAATGACAAGCTTTTGGGAGAACCTCCATTCTGAGCAAGACGACACATAGAATTCAAAGTTGAGTTGTGATACAGGAGTTAAAGCGACATGATTGCAGATAAGACAGGTTTGATAGAACATAGACACCATTCTTGCAGAGGGTCGTAAATATCTTATGCGAAGATCACAGAGTGGGGGGGAGAGAGAGAAAAAAAAACAAGCAAACAAAACAGAAGATGATGCTAGAAGGGGGAGTATTAATATAAAGAATGCAGGAAAAACAGCTTTGCATTGATTGTCTCCATGTGTCGGCCCTATCACCAGACATACTGGCTTGGATAAGAAAGGAGGTTGCTTAGGGCATATCTGCAGCTCTGGAGCTAAGACAGGGGGTAGGGACCCAGACAAAGAAACTCAGATATCTTGGAACCTTCTGGAGATTTTGAAATTTTGGTAGATTCCCTTGAGAGTAAAGGTGAAATGCTCTCGGAATCCCTGGATGCCAAATCAGTGGAGAATCTGCTCTTAATGGTAAGGAAGACACTAGAAATTCCAGAGGATACACATACAGTGGGGGGAGTAGATAAGCATTTTTCTGATCAGCACAAACAAAAGCTGTCCTTCCCACGCCATAGAGCCATTAAGGAGGTAGTGATGTCTGAAGGGAAGAGATCTGAGAAACGTCTTCCCTTCCAGGGTAAACTGGAAAAGCTCTCTCCATTAGAGGAAGAGACCTCTAGGATGTTGACAACCCCACCTAAGGTAGATGCTCCTATCTCAAGAGTGGTGAGAAAGGTAATGTTACCTTTGGACAGTTCCGCTTTATTGAGGGAACCTATGGACTGCAAGTTGGATGGTGATTTATCCAAGATCCCAGATCAATACAGCTTCAGGGGCTGGCTGTCACCCAGCAGTAGTCCAGGTCCATGAAGAGTTGGTTGAGAGAGCTGGATTCAGATGTGGAGAGAGGTATCAAAAGACATAATTTGGAACCTACGTATGGCAACAGTACCTGGTTGAGGCATCACTGGATATAAGAAAAGAAAGATATTATCACGAACCATGGCCTTCTCAATGTCTGCCAGAAGGTTACATTGTAATGGTTAAATTACAATGGGGAGATGATGCTGCCTCAAAATCCAATCTATGCTTTGAGGGAGAGCTTCTATTTGATAAGACCTTGGAAGACTCTATAAAGAAGGCAGCTGAAGGCTGTAAGATATTTTTACCACAGGAGATAAGTGCTAGAAAACCAGGTACTTCATGCTCAGACAGACCTCCAGCTAAATACCAATATTTCAGGGACTCACAAAGCTACCGACATGGTAGAGAATATAGTCACAGAGGCAAATGGCATGGTTGACAAGGCTCTTGCCAATGGTCTAAAAGAGTCAGGAACCAGTCCTTTCATCCCTCAGGGAAGGGATTCAGAGGTTGGAGCCAGACTGTCCCTCTTCAGCAAGGTCTAAACACACTATATACAGGACACCTGTGTGCTTTCCATAAGTCTGGAAGGTTACAGGCTGGAGTTCAACACAATTGAGGAATTTCTTTCTTGAAACTCGCATTCCCACAGACAGGACCAGTGGAAGCTGTTTGAGGGAATATGTGGACACTTTCTTAAGAGAAAGACTTATTGTGCAAGTACCTCGGGAAGAATGCTTCAAGGGGCATTATTCTCCCCTGTTTCTAGTCTTAAAAATCAAAGGCAAATGGAGACCTATTTTAGACCTAAGGTCCATCAACAGGAGGCTCAACATCAGGCTTTTCAAGATGGAATCTATCCGTTCCATTGCTCCTGTCATCAAAAGGAAGGGTTTTTGGTCTCCATAGACCTAAGGGATGCATACTACCACATTCCGATTGCACAGGACCACCAGCGCTTCCTGAGATTCACAATTAGGGCAGACCATTTCCAATTACAGGCCTTACCATTCAGCTTAAGTACAGCACCAAGAACCTCTTCAAAGGTTTTAGTAGTGGTCATTGCCCAAATGTGGATGCCCAGCATCAGCCTCTTCCATTATTTGGATGATCTTCGGCAAGTTGCTTCAGATCTCCAGTAAGCCAAATATCAAAGAGACCTGATTATCTCAGAACCAGCTGTTCAGCTGGCTGATCAATACTGAAAAGAGCAGTCTAATTCCAGCTCAGAGGATGATCTTCCTCTGAGCCATGTTCGACACAAGAGGGGACAAGATATCCCTTTCCAAGGAAAGAATAGAAAGGCTTTGTACATTTCTCAATCAATTCCTACTGTCCATCCTGGTTACAGCAAGGATATACATGAGACTCTTGAGCATTTTAGCCTCTACGCTAGTGAGATGGGCACGATGGCACCTCAGAATCCCACAAAGAGAATTCCTGATCCTGTTCAACAAAAGATAGTTGAATTGGAATCAACCCATCAGGATTTCCTCGATGGTAAGACTCCACCTTTCCTGGTGGTTAAGGAGACACAAATGTAACCAGAGGTTTTCCCCTAACAGATCCACAATGGATAATACTTACCACAGATTCAAGTTCCTGGGGATGGGGAGCTTATTGCCAAGACATGTTCATTCAGGGTCTATGGACTGCAGCAGAGTCAGTTCTTCCAAGGAGCACCTTGAAGTTGCAGGCCATATTCAGAGCCCTCCTACATTTCCAAACGACCCTAGAGGGGTGTTGGATTCAAACACGTTTGGATAACATGATGGCTGTCTCCTACATAAATCACCAGGGTGGAACACACTGTCTCAGACTCATAAAGGAATTGAGACCAATAATGAGGTGATCTCTTCCAGGGCATGTCAGCAATGCACCTACCATAAGTCAAGAATACAGTGGCAGATTCCCTAAGTCGGGTATCCTTGTCAATGTTCAAATGGTGGCTGTGCCCAGAGATTTTCCAAAGCATAATCATGGGATGGGGAATGCCCGAGATAGACCTGATAGCCATCTCCTAGGACAAATGGGTAGAAGTATACTTCTTCAGACACATTTTCGACCCGAAAGCCCTAGGTAAGGATGCTCTGACACAGAACTGACTTCAAACTGACCTATGTCTCCCCTCTGATACCTCTGATCTATGCCGAATTGAGGAAGATCCAGAGGGACAAGATAGAGGCATTCGCTATTCTTCCATTCTGGCCACGTCAAACTTGGTTTCCTTTGGCGAGAATGATGAGTTGAGAAGATCCATAGGAATTCCCAGTCCGGCCAGACCTACTGATGCAGGGTCCTTTGAGACATCTAGAGCCTCAGGCTCTACAATTGAGGGCCTGAAGGTTGAGTGGGAATCTCTCTTGAAGGAGAATATAGATGATTCAGTCAAGAACCATCTTGCAAGCCAGTCAGGTCACGACTTCAGCTACCTATTACAGAATTTGGCAGACCTTTGTCAGTTGGACCATGATCAAGAGATTGAGATTATTCCTCCCTCCTTGGCCTCAGTGCTAAATTTCCTACAAGCATGTTTGGATAAAGGGTTTGGTTATAACACCCTAGAGGTCCACGTTTTGACTCTTTCTGCCCTAACAGGCACAAGGTGGGCTTTACAGTCCTTAGTTATAAGGTTCATGAAGGCTGTTATGAAGATCCAAGCTCCACTGAAGGTATTTATGTCAGCCTGGGATTTACCTTTGGTGTTACGTGCCTTGACTGCTACACCATTTGAACCTTTGGAAAGTACTTCTATGGTACTGTTGTCCCATAAGGTTCTTTTATTAACAGCTATCTCCTCAGCAAGGAGGATGTGTAAACCTCAAGCATTATATTGTGAACCTCCCTTTACTGTCTTTCATCAGGATAAGGCATCCTGTGCCAGAATTCGTCACCAAGGTGGTCTCAAAGTTCCATTTGACTGAGCAAGTGGTCTTACCTGAAATATATTTATTTGAACTTTAAATATTTGATGTGTTGTAGGATTGTCATTGTGATATGAATATTATAAGTTTTTATATTAGTTGAAATTAATTTCATTTCAAACCACTTTCAGAATAGAGATCATATTCATCTGTATATCAACAGTCACCACATATGGTTCTTGTTAAGATAATGCTGCATGAAGGCTTGTTGATATTGACCTTTGACCCAGCATTGCAAGCCAGACTAGGAAGGCTCAAATTTCTGAAAGCATTCATTCATTTAATGTATATAGCCCTTTGTGTAACTCATAGTTTACTGCCAAATATAACGTATGGCTTTACTTATAGATTGGACAGAATGGTTAAGCTCCCATTTTATATGATAGCCACTTATTTTAAAGTATCCAATAACCTTATGTGTACACCCATAAGAAACTGAATTTAGACATATACAATCTTTTGCAGTTAGAATTTCTTTACCAATATTGTTTAACATCAAGCTTGGATATAATCTAGAAGTGAATATGCATTGCATATTGGCCCAGGTGTGTGCATTGATTTATGCTATTTCGGATGTTGTGTATGTTTGAATAAATATAACTTTTTGGCTGTAAGACACTCTGATTTGATTATTAGAGCACTGGTGTGTGACAAACAAACATCTCAAGAAAAGCTTATTTCTCACTTTACCCTCCTTTTATCCTTGCCCGAGATCTCCTGAAGAAGAGATGTGGTATAATGTGGATGTTGTTAGAGCGCTCTCCCTCTACATTGAGAGGACAAACTCTTTTTATAAATCTTTCAGGATGTTTGTTTTGCCTTGGGGCCACTGGAAAGGTGAAGCGGCTTCTACTGCTACTCTTAGACAGTGGGTAATAGTAGCTATTTCCAAGGCTTATCATTGCCAGGATACGCCTCTACCTATGGATAATTAACAATACCCAATAAAGTTAACACCAGTGGAAACAGGTATAAAAATTACCATAAAATATGCAGGTTATAAAGAAGACTCCTCAGTTTCTTCTTAATAAATGGAAAATATAAAGAGAAAAAAATCTGCAATTAAAATACAAACAAGGACACAAGTTCATTGTGATAAACGTGCTTTATAATTAGCATTTAAAGCATTTAAAGATTCAAGACCCCTAAGACAATGCATTTTTCATAAGCAAATATGAACACTAAATTTGGCCAGTTTTTGTGACTAAGTGACTACTAGAAAAGACTGGACATACCCCATTCGTAACACCTTGGGTTGTCTACTTTTGCAAATGTTATGCCATCATGGAGGTAATTTTCATTCATGGGCTACTATACGGTCTCAAAGGGAACATAAACAGTGTGGCGGAACCAACCACGCCACTGTGCACTGGAGAAGCCTGGTTGCTCACCTGCTCCCTTTAGATTATGGCCATGCAGTTCAGAGCTGTTATTCTCCCTGCTGAAAGGTTTATTCGTGCCTTTCTGCCAGGGTGGTCGGTAGATTCCATCTACTGAACAAACTACCGAACGATGGACCATCTGGGAGCTGGAGTGTGCCGTCAATTGACCGCCCAGAAGCTGCGGTTAACCGCAGCTTAATTGATGAACGCTGGGTGGCCTTTGTTCATCTGCTGAACACGTGGCAGCGGCCATTTTACCTCCCGAACGGCCAGTGGTGTTCAGCGCCCAAACTATGGAACTGAAAACGGACACTTATTGGCGCGAACACCGCTGAGCCGCCAGCTTCCTTACCTTCCCATTCAGTAAGCAGAACCGAATGACTGTTCAGTCGGTAGTTTCGCCGGATGAACAGCATCCCTCAGATAGCTAAGCCATGGAGCCTATTCGTGTAACGAAAGACTATGGGAAAGACTTTGGCTCCATGGCGATTGAACTGTATGTATGTGATCTGAGCACCATTTGGTAGTAATGTGCGCTCAGATCTAAGCTATCTGGGGATATGTAGAATGTATATGTTTTAGGTAATAAATGTGACTGTATGTAATCTTATGTCTTTTACTGTATTGTTACTGCCATGAGGTTAATGGAGTTTTGCCTCTGTCCTGGGAGATAAGTGGATTACTTCCCCAATTACCTCCA